GTGTGTGTGTGTGTGGCGGCGGGCGGGGGTATTAGAGTGAGAATAGAGAAGCAGGGACAGCCACCGGTGGACTAAAGCAGGAGAGAGGGAGGCAGGCTCTCCTGGTCCTGGTCATAGTCCTGCTGCACACTGGACGCTCAGGCCACATTGTGGAGGGCTGTTCCAGTTCTTGATCCCATTCAGGAGGGAAAATTCAGATTGGAACAAGTACAGAGGAGGGCTGCTGGCATATGAAGAATGGTTGGAAATAGGGGAATGTTTACCCTAGAGAGGGAAAGATTTTGGTGGAGGGGGTTTGCTAGGCATGGTATTATATATTTAAAAGACTGCCTTGTGAAGGAGGATCAGACTTACTCAGTGCTACTTGGAGGGCAGCACTGGGGCCTAGGGGTAACAACATCAGGGAGGCAGGTGTTGATGCAGCGGTGAGTGACTTTCCAGTGGTTGGAGATGTGAAGGAAGTGAGGGAGGGGAGGGGGTGGCCCTGTGAGATAGTGAGCTCCTTTAGGAGCCCCATAGTGTTTGCGTATCAGCTGAATGCCCACCACTCAGGGATGCTTATAGTAAAAACAATAGTAGTAACTACCATTTACAGTAACCATGTACCAGGCACTGTTACTAAGTGCTTCACCTGTATGGATTCATTTAATCCTCACGACAGCACTGTGAAGAGGTATGATTAGCCCTACTTTATAGATGGGAAAATTTAGGCTAAGAGATGAAGTAACCCACCCATGATCACACACCTTGGACTTGAGCCCAAGGCTGACTCTTCTTGTATTGGTGAAAGGTGAGGCCACTTGACCTGTAGTGTGCCTTACAACACTAGGATTCTGAGACCTCCATCTGGGCGGTCCATCCTACACCATTTGGATGGGGCGGAAGGCTCTGAGTTGGGCTGACACCAGTCCGTCTCTCTTCCCCCAGATGCCTGCTTTGGCCCTGGAGATCTTGTCCATGCTCCAGCTCATGACAAGGCTGGCCCTTTGCTGAAACCCCAGACTTGGATCCTGGTGGCGCTTGATGGCCCCTGTCTCTTTGCTTCTCTCTCTTGGGCTGCAGGTGCAGGCATGCCCCTGTTTCGGGAATAAGGCAGTATGGAAATGAAAGCTCAAGTCAAGAGTTGTTTGGGGAACCCCCTGTCCTACTTTTCTCTATGATTCTTGTGGTCTAGATCTGACTCAGCTAAGCAAAGCAATAGTTTGTTCCAGGGCAGGAAAGAAACTCCATTTTAAGTCACATGGTGCTAAGCTCATATGGTCACGCAGAGGGCAGTACAGCCCCATGAGTCATCAGTTGCCCGGGTTCTATGTACGCTAGAGACATCTCCGGCCCAGAGCTGCTCTCCTCGATCAAGAGAAGGAACACCAAGAGCACTGGTAGTTTTTAAGGACACTAGTTAGTGCCTGGATGGCATCTGCCTGAGACCCCCACCCCTCGCCCCCACCGCACACCAGCCATGTCTGGCCTGTGGCACAGTCTGCAGGTTCTGCTATGCTCTTTTCAGTCCAACTCACGTGGCCCAACCACACTCCATCTCTCTGGAAATTATTTCCATCCGTTGACAGGGCCAGGATTTTAGAGCAGCCAGCCAGGAGGTGCACTGGGTTACTCCCTGAGTCCCAGGAAGATTGTGTCCCCTGCTTGGTCTGGTAGCACTAGAAGCCCCTGGTCCAGGGGTCTGGCCAGTGACTGCAGAGTGGCCGTGTTCACCCATCCTCAGCCCAGCATCGGAGTAGTAGGTGCCGGTCCCATTGCCGGGCTGGGTTTTGCTTGAGGGTGAGCTCTGAGCCCTCTGGGGCGGGATCTTAGATTTAATGATCAGTGGCCTAGGACAAGATAGATGTTTTGGCCTCTTTCACTTTTCTGGAGGTGATGGGAGCCAGCTTGGGCAGGACACTTTGGAGCCTGGATTTTTGGCCTGAGAGACATACTGACTCAGACTGCCTAGGAGAAAGCGTCTGCTTACAAACAGGGCATATTGGTCACAATATCTGCCTTCGCAGTCCTGACCTTCACCCAAAACAAATATGCCCCCCATACTGCCTTTGGTCATATGCTATGCAGGAGTCTCTATTGGTGATGGTGTTCACTTCCACTTGGGCTGTGAATTCAGGACATGACGTGGCGTTCTTCACTCATCTTCCATCACCCTGAGGTCGTGGGAGTCCCGTGTTCTCAGGGCCAGTGTCTGCCAGGCCACTTACTGTCTGCTGCCTGGCTCCGGCTCCCAGGCTGTGGCCGCATTCCGTGTCTGCGTCTGTATCTCACCTCTGCCAGGACCTACCCCTCCAGCACAGGCTGTCCCCAGCTCGCGCCTCTCGGATTTTCGCTTGGCACCTGGTGCTGCATTGTGTCCTTGGGGCGTTTGTTGTCACTGCTGGGCCTTGTTTTCCTCTAGCTCAGCAGCCTGGGTGGAAGTACCGTGGTGGCTTGGTGGGGGTATGTGATGGGAGAAGCTTCTCGGTGGCTTTAGGGTAGTTTCTCCAGAAGACTGACAAGATGTGGTCTTTATGACTGACGGCTGACCACATCATGGTAATTACTGTTGATCTAAGCCATTAACATCACTGTTCTTCAGGAGCCTTTCCCCACGGGTGCTACAGACTTCTGATCTACAGTATCATTTCTGAGTCCCCACCAACCTTGTGCACTTTCAGAATTTTTGTGATTACATATATTTGTAGATTCTGTGGTTTTGTTTCTTCTTGAAGTTCTCCAAGATTAGAAACCCATCTCTTCCTTGCCAGGTATTGAACTGTCCCAATAATTTGGCTTTCACTTTTCTTCTCCAACCTTCTTTCTCCAAGCCCTCCTTGTCTTGGGCCATACATAACTACCTTGAACATGCTTAATCTTTCTACTTAGTCTTGTCAAGGTGAACCTAGGTATGGTTGTGCTTGGTTAGTCCTTGGATGAAACCTAGAAATGCCAGGTATTGCACGTCTTTCCAGGTGTAGTTGGCCTTTTCTTTCAGTGCCTGGTATGGTACCAAGTGCAAAGTCATCATCTTTGTCAATGTTGTCATCATCATAGTGATAGCTGGCACTGATGGAGCATTTTGTGTTGGGCATTTTGCGAAATGCTTTCTGTATTTCATAATATCCTCACAAAAGCCCTGTGAAGTGTGGATGAATCTGAAACTATAAACTTAGAAAGGTCAACTAAGTTGTTCAAGTTTATATAACTAGTAAAGAGGCTGCACCAAATTCGAATTCAAATCTGTCTCATTTTAGAGTCTAAGTTTTTAACCACTGTATGTCCTGTCTTTATTTAGTAGTATTAATACTCAGTAAATGTTTGTGGATTAGCAAGATGGGTCCAACAGCCCAGCTGATCTCCATGGTATCACTAATAGTGTTGACCATAGCAGGTCACTAGCTAGGCTCTGTAGTAAGTGATGTACATAAATATAACTCATTTACTTTTGAAAGCTCAGTGAGGATGATTACCCCCATTTTGTGGATTAGGAAACTGAGGCTCAGGCAGGCTAAGTAACTTGCCCAGGGTAACACAGTGAAGTAGTAATAGTCAGGATGTGGATGCAGATTAGCTCTTGAAACAGTAGGATCTGTTCTCTTAATCACTGTATTACTAACTCTAAAAAAACAAGATACTTTCACAATGTTTGCGATTATATATTTTGTAGATTCCTTAGCTTGTGGTGCTTTTTCCTTGTGTTTTTCTGCTCATTCTGTTCTTTTCAAGAAGCCCAGGCTGGGGCACTTTTCTCAGACCATGCCTGTCCACATTGAATTCACTTTGCTCCAATGCTTTTGCCTCTTTTATGTACCACACTTTTGGCACTTCAGTTTATGTTTTCTTAAACTTTATTTGTAGACAAATCCTCATGTTAAAAGCACCAGATTAAAAAAATAATAATAAAGAACCTGACTTAAGATTAGTGCTCCTTACTCACAACAATAGATCAATTTGTCTTTCTCTTTTATTTCTGACCAAAGGAATGGGTCAGGGAGCCCAGAAACAGACCCATAGGTGCTAGACCTCTGAGCAGTGGGGAACGGATGGTTGTTTTAATAAACAGTGCTGGGTCAGTTGGATAGCCACATGGAAAGAAAGGAACCTCAACCACTACCTCACGCCATACACAGAAATAAATTCCAGGTAGATCATTGCTCTAAGTATGAAAGTTAAAGCAAAATAAAGCTTCATCTAGAAGGTAACTGAGAAGAGTATCTTCATAACCTTGAGGTAGCCATTCATTTCTTAAACAAGACATGGAACACACCACCTATAAAGGAAAAGACTGATACATCTGTAAGGAAAGAGCCCCTCCCCCCCCCCACAACAGGCAGACGAGTGTCCTATACTTAAAAATTGTGAGTTGTGGACAGTTTTCTCCTCCCAGTTGCGGATTGTAACCGATTTGTCCTGGATCATTGGCACAGCCTGGTGGCTGGCCTTCGGAACTGTCTAATCCTGTGACTCTTCTTGTTGTTTTCTTATGCGTGTGGACTGTGCCCATCCTTTCCCATGCCCTTCTTTATTCAGTTGTTTATTCTGCCACAAGTGCCTCCTTTCTCATGAGAGAACATAGACAACTTTCCTCCTTTCCTTTGGCATTTTAACGTTTGATCTGCTATCTTAAGAATATTTCTCTCCTCCTTCTCCTCTCTCCCTGCTTCATTCCCCACCCCCACCTTTTTTTTTGCCTCCTTGTTTAGCCTAAAAGCTTGTGGTTGTAAAAGCTATCCTAAAATGTCTGAAAGTCTCGGGGCAGGGGTGAGGGGGGGCATACAAGCCGACTTACTCTTTTGGGCTGCAAAGGCAGGACAGAGATCTGGAGGCTAGAAGGTGCCTAGAGAGAGATTTCAGCTCAGTTACTTTCCAACTGTGAGTTCTTCAGAGATGGGATGGGCGTTATTGAATCAAATAGAAGCTAGACAGTGGTTTGGTCTGGTGTTTATGGAGGGGCTTCTGCCTTGGATGAAGACCCCTGGTGGCACAGTGACTGGTTAAATGCTTGGCTGCGAACCTAAAGGCTGGCAATTCAGACTCACCTAGTGGCTCCGTGGGAATACTCCCATTTTTCATAGCCAATGTGTTATATTTTGAACATTCTATGACAAAACATTGTAGAAGCTCGACAGGTATGTTTTGCTTTTTAAAGATTTTGACAATGTTTAAAATTCAGAAGTTTAACATAATAAATCTAGATTTCCAGCTTCTTCTGTAAAACTGATAATCTGGGCTCTTTGGGTCTTCATTCCCATATAGCCCCAAGTTTATAGAGCTGAGGAGGGGCTGACCCCATCAGGAGTGGCCTATTCCTTCCACTTGGCACACTCCGTCCCCAGCCTGCTTCGCTCCTATCTTACCTGCCCGACCCCTAAAGGCATTTGAGTTTGTGACTTCCCGAAGTGGATAAAATAGGCTTTTGTGGGCTAGCCTGGGAACTCAACCAGTATGCTTAATATTATTTCAATGGGAAAATGTGTTCCAACTTTTAAAGAGTGGATTTTTGAAACATCAGTCTTTGCAAATGTGGGAATGCTTATAGGGTTCTCGACTAGAATGTGTGTGCCTTGGGGTGATGGCCTGTGTGTACTACTTCTCCTGTGCTGTACTGGCTTAGCACTTACTGTTATTAGATGCTGTGGAGTTGGCTTCGACTCATGGCAACCTTACGTATAGCAGAACGAAACGTTACCTGGTCCTGCACCATCTTTATGATCGTTGGTATGTTTGAGTCCATCGTTGTGACTGTTGTGTCAGTCCATCTCATTGAGCATTTCCCTCATTTTCACTGACCCTCTGTTTACCAAATACAATGTTCTTTTCTAACGATTGCTCTTCCTGATGATGTGTCCAAAGTAAGTGAATCGAAGTCTTGTGATCGTCTCTTCTAAGGAGCATTCAGATTTTGTTTCTTCTAAGACTGATTTGTTCATTTTTTGGGCAGTCTATGCTTAGCACTTAGTAGGCACTTAATAAATGATTTACCTCATGGAGTCATTAAGGCCTGTTGTCTGCCTTCCTCTCAGGCAGCAAACAGAAACGCCTTCTCACTGTGGGCCTGGACCTGTTAGTTCTGCTTGAGACCGGATTGCTGCCTGATTTACCTAGATCTCCCACTTTCAGCTGGTAGATACCCATACGAAATTTTAGGGTCAGTCCCCTCTACATCTCCGCTGTCTTGAGAGAAGCTGTTTCTTTACCTGATTAAAGATCCTGTCAGTGTAGAGTCAGCCCTAACGAGGAAATGAGGCCTGTGCTCAGCTGGCCTTTCTAGGTGATGACCGCCAAACTAGAGTTTGTGGCAGTTACAGAGTGCTTTTTTTCCAGACCCTGGACAAATGTTGGGTAAAAGTTCAGCTCATTCCCTTTAAAGAAAAAAATTTTTTTTCTTTGGAATTTCAAAAGTTTTGACCCAGATCAGTCAGAGGCCATTGAGAGCTTGCGATGTCTGGAGAGTTTGTTTCGTTCCTGAGGCCTGTAGCTGCAGAGAAGCTGAGGAGATCCAGTGACCTCCTGGGCCGGAGCTGAAGCTCAACCTTTTCAAGTTTGCCCCGCCCTGGCCTCCCCAGTCCTCCGAGAGTGGATGGAAGGAGCCAGCACCTTCAACTCACTCAGAAGTTATCTTTACCCCCTGAAATCAAACACTGCGCACAGCACCCTGTAAAACTGCTTCCTCGTAGGCTTGAGCTTGCTAAGTAAACATCCTCCCATGTTTTTGGAACTGAGTTCATTTCTGCTTCCTGGTCATCCCGTTTGGGTTTTTCTATGCTCAGCGCCACACAGAATCAGATTGATAGAAAGAAGGCCTAGAATTGGGCAGAGGCACCAAAGAGGACTGTTTTAATCTTCGTAAAATTGTGAGAAGAGGAAGGGGGTTTTGGGAAGAAAAAGATACAGGTGAAAAGTGAAACAGAACAGAGCTTTCCTAAACATAGGGTCATCATCGTGCTTTGAAAGTCAGAGTAGACCCCATCGGAACCTGAGACGGGACTTTTCTTTGCGTGGACCAAGCTCAGTTTTGCTCTGGTTGTATACCACAGTTGGCCTCTCTGTGCAAATTCTGTGGCTGTATATGTCCCTCCTCTGACCCTGCCCTGCTCACTCTCCGTCTCTCATGACTTATTTGCTTCTTCTCTCTCACTTCCACCCACCCGTGACATCTCCATCGCCATGGCAGTGAGCAGCCACGTCATTCACCAAGTTCACGGGGTGATGGGCCAACTCGGTGCTGAGCCCTACTTCCTCTAGTTCCCCCTCCTGAAGCAGGAGGCTCCCGGGCAGAGCTCAGAGCCCTTTGTTTATTTGATCCTGGGCTCTTGGATAAATCAGGAATGTCCTGACATGAACTTAGGCATGTTTTTCTTCCATGGCGAAGAAAACTACGGCAAATGGGATTTAAGTAGGCAGAGGACCATTCCAGGGCACTTGCTTTAGTGCCATCAAGGCCACATTCCTTTGGTTATCAGACCAGTAGGTGACTTCTTTATCGGCATGCTCTACCCTGGAGCCCAGAAGGTGTGAATTTGAAGCATTTCCCCCACTGCTGGGAGCCTGGCACAGTCGCTCTGAGCTTCTTTTAAGACTCTGGTGCCATGGTTGTCTTTCAAATGGTCCTTGTTTCTGTTGGGTGAAACCTTGTGCCCCAGCATCGTTGCTTGAAGAAGTAGTTGCTTGGGAAGTGGGGTCTAGGATAAGGTGGCTGTCTGGCGTGTTTTTCTTAAGCCATCTTCCTGTAAGTTGTAAGGTTCTTGATATGATATACTTTTTGAGGAAACTGCCCCAGTACCTGAATATTTCCCTCACTTCTCGTCATGCCTCAAGGCACATATGGTACAGCTGGTTGTTGGAAACCTTTGCCAGTCTGCATTCTGTTGATGTAGCAGTGTGTGGGAACCCTAGACTCCCTGAGTCCCTCTGGATGTACTGTCCAGTGGATTAATATCTGAGCTGTTCTTGGAGACCTTTTTGGGTCTGCGGACAGGAAAGCATTGGGACCTATGTGCTTGGCTGCTTGCTGCAGTGGAGACTTGTCAGTATCCAAAAAGAACCTCAGTCAGTCTCCAGAGCATTAATAGGACCTCTGCCTCCCCTGGTGAGGCTCATCTCGCTTGGCTGCCCACCTGGGAGAGGAGGACCCAGGTGTTGGCGACTTCAGGTCCAGGCTTAGCTGTTTCTGTTTTGCTGCCTTTCATGTCGTCAGGAGGATCTTCTTGGGAACAAATGACTCAGCAACCTGAACCTCTGGGACCGTGTGGCCTCAGTGCCTTTTGAGAAGCAATTGAAGTATCTGCCTAGGCCCTAAAACTCGGAGCCCGGGAAGAATGGAAATTCACACGGGTGTTGTGCTGGCTTCTTCAGCCTACTGTTCAATTTGGTTTCTCAAATTCCTGACCTGATAGAAGGATCTCACTCATGGGGTAAGCAGGCAATGTTTTAATTATGCTTTTTGTCCTTAGGAAATTCCAGGGAGAAAAAGGCCCTGGTTTGTGGCCAAAAAGCAAAAACCAGAACAAAACAAAATCAGCTATGGTTGTTATTCTGGACTTGTCTGTGGCAGAAAGAGTTAATGGGGTGGTGGTCTCAGGGTGAGGACTGTTTGTTTCCTCATGGCTGAGAGAAGCTCACATGGTTCTAGAAAAGATGATGCAACGTTTAGCATGGGACAGCCGTGGCTGGACTCTGGGGGCTGTCACTCAAAGAGTTAAGCTGTTCTTGTGGCTAGGAAGTCCTCAGGGAAGGAGCAAGCCTGCAGGGACCTGGACCTCTATGCCCCAGAACAGTGAGGTGTGGGGTGAAAAACGGACTGGCTGGAAAGTGTGGCCAGGGAAGCAGAGTGTAGGCCCAACTTTTTTTTGCCTTGTTTGACCAGCCTTGGCACTGCCCTCCGGCTCTCCAGGGGAAAAGCTGCAGTTCTGCTCTTGCAACACAAGGAGCAGACTGGAGAATTTAGATCTGCGTCACAGAGCTCAGAGAGAGAGAGAGCGCGAGAGCTCCATCGATAGGTCTGCTAGCAACAGCCGTGCTGCAGCAGAGAGAGAGAGAGAAATCAAGAAACAAGTCATAGCAACACCGGGCACCAGGTCTGCCAGCTCACTTGCCAAGCTTCCGGAAACCTGCTGGGGGCCGGAGGCCTCTGGGTAGCCTAGGCTAAGGAGATGACATGCAAGGTGGCACGGGCGGCTCCCGCGGGGAGGACGCGAGGTGGTGGTGGGGGGCAGGGGTGGTATCAAGATGTTGTAGGGTGACGGTGGAAGGTTTAACGGGACAAAATTCTGGAACCTTCGGGACTGTGGCACCTTGCGGGCCAGACAGAGATTTGGGTCTGCGCAGGCGACGGTGGGTGGTCCGACGGGCTCCCGGACTTGACGGTGTAACCCCCATCTTCCCCCACGTACGTATTTGCTGGGACCAGGGGCGATGTCTCTGCGTGTGGGGGCTCTTTCTTTCTCACCTCTTTTCTCGCTTTCTGCTATTTTTTCTCTGGGGGAGAATTTTTCTTTCCCACTTTAATTTCTTTTCCCTTAGTGTCAGCTGCTCAAGCCTGACCAAGGTGGAGGAGAGAGAAGTGAACTGTCTCCTGCCTCCCACTTGACCTCCCAGCCTTTACCCCGTTTCCCTCTAGTGAACAGATAGATGGACAGACTGGTTTGCCAGGTTGTTTGGGTGTCGATGTCTGTCTGTCCACGCAGTTCTTAGGTAGAAGGTAGGGAGCGAGGAGGGAAGGCAAGAGGAACAGTTTTCCAGGGGTTACCTTCTTGAAATGCTTGTCCCTGGGAATAAGAGTCTGGTGGGAGCAATGTGGTGGGTAGGATGGGGCGTGGGCTGGGAGAAGTGGGGTGAAGCTGGTGGGTTTGTCACTGCGTAGTTGGGCAAAGTGGTGAGTGGTGACGCAGTCACTGTTGCATCTCGTTAGGAGCTCTAGAGGGGCAGGTAGTGAGGCTCTCTGGGTCTGAGGGCCAGCTGAGAGGGGTTAAGGATGAGCTGAGAAAGGAAGCTAGCATTTAGAGATTAAATGTCATCCTTTTGGCGTTGGAAAGTTGTTTACCTTGCGCTCTCTGTGTCTCCATGTTGGCACCCTTCCAGTTCACATGTGATGGCCTTCCCTGTACTGCTGCATCATTAACTAAGTGACTGAGCTGGCCTTCCATTGGCCAGGGGAGGGCTCTCACTACAGACACTCTTCTGATTGGTGGGTAGCCCGATGGCAGGTGAAAACATTTTTTTGATTGGCCAAGGGCAGGGTATCAAATCTGAATTTGCATTTCACTTGCTTAAAGGGGAGGGGAGAGAAGCCCAGCAGCTTTCTAAAATCTCTTTAGGGGTGTGCGTATGCTTGTGTGTCTGTGCCGGCTTCTGACTGACCATTGAAGCCTCTTCCTGTGCCTTTTTTATTTCATGCACTATAAGGAAGAGGAGCTCAGGGCTCCACGAACTTTTTTATGGGAGTGTAGAGGGTTTGGGGAGGTGGGTGTGCAGAGGGTTGACCAAATTGGAAGAAAATGTTTTTGTCCTTTAGTTGGGTATCAGAAAAGGGAATTTTCCAATCAGCCCCACCTCAGTGTTGCGGCAGAATAATTCTTGGCTCCTTAGAAACGCACGGGTAAGGTAGGGTAGAGCTGCTGTTGCTGATATTGCCACCACCCAGGGCTTCCTGCTGACTCTGGGCTGCTCCCCCGGGACCAGAGATTTGCATTGACGTCCCTGGCTGTCCAGAAGCCCTCAGGAGCCAGTCGTGAGCTGAGCCCAGTATGGGAAGGACCTGCTTTCTGGAAGCTGCTGCTACCTGGTGCTTGGAAAGGTGAGGATCGGGACTGACCCCAGGAAATGGCTCCAAATACTATGTATTTGGTGAGATTTCCCAAAAAGTTAGTGGGTTGCAAGCGGTTTGGAGGTCCCGGCTTGCAAGGTTTGTCATCCTGGGGAAAGAAGAGAGAGAGTGAAACTAGGACAGCAGGCATTTGCCTCTGGTTACGGGGAAGGCCTGGAAAAACTGGGGTCCCCCACCCCCAAGTTGTCCTTGTTGCAGGTCTCACATTGGTGGGGAGTGGTTTTCTGGAGGCCTACGCCATGCGCAGCTCCCCCGGCCATGACTGCGCATCTGGGAGCGCAGTGCGCCCTGGGTCTCTGGCCTAGGAGGAGCACCGCCCTTCTTGTTACATAACGGAGGGCACGCGGGCGCCTTCTCGGCCTTCCCTGCAACCCAACCTCCCCACTGCCCGGGGCCCACGGGGCTGGGGAGGGCCTGACTGGGGGGCAGGGAACGGTTTTGCTCACTTGGAGGGCTAGCTCTTGTTCAGTTAGTGACAGGAGCTGGGTTTGAGGGCAGAACTGGGTTGCTGTACCCCATCTTGGGGTATGGAACACAGAATGTCCTTCTGAATGCCCTGTGTCACCTAGGGCTCCCCAGGGCCTCTGGGGGATGGGATGGTGCCCTTCTTTCTCTCTTATCCTTTGATTTGGGGAGGAAATTTCTGAAGCAAAAGGTGTATCATTGTAAGTGTAAGGAAAGGTGCGGGAGCCTAGAGGTTGTTGGCAGTTGACTCCTCTTGTCACTGGCTTCCCTTTTCCTCGGTTGGTTTATAATATTTTGGGACTTCTTTTAATGGCTGCCATCTTGGAGGCATTTCTACTGGTGGCGTTGGTTTTTCTGGTCCTGCTGTGCCAGTTCCGCAGAGTGGGCGGGGGGCGGGGGCTATGACGGAGGAGGGGAGGGGGGGCAGAAGCGCAGTAGAGGCGGGCACAGCAGTGGCTGCCGCATTGGAGAGGCCCCGGGGGCAGAACCGCCCAGTCCCACCCTTGGACACAGCTATGGGTGGGGGTTCAGGTGGAAGGCCCTGGCCTTGCCAGAGTGTGGGCATTGCTCACTGATGGCCTGGGTGTCCCATGCCCTCATCAGCCTGAGCTTACAGCAGTTCAGGGAAAAGTCAAGTATTTGGGGGATGAGCGGAGGCAGAGACGTGGCAGCTCCTCTCAGATGTGTCAGACCTGTGGTGTGTGTTCTCCAAATAGGCTGTGTCCCCGGCACTGGTCTCCCTGTGGGGACAGGGAGTGGGATCCAGGGCAGCTTTGAGGATTTGCTTGGATGGCCCTGCTCTTTACCTTTGTCCTTCCATTTCTTCTCCATTCCCACTGCCGTGCTGGGTTCCAGCTCTAGTTCTCTAGTGAGGCTCCCTGCTGCCAGTCCCTCTTCTCTTCAGTCCCTTCTGCGTGCTGCGGCCATCTTGTCTGTCTTGCTCAGAAATTTAAAATGGTTTCTCATCATTTCCAGAATTAACTCCCTTCTCTTGAGCATGATGTTCAAGGCTGTCTTGTGACTGGCCCTAGTTTTCTTGTACAGTCTTACTCCCTCCCTTTCCCTAAAAGGATCAGGTATTCCAACAAAACCAGGTGACTGACTTTTTCTTGCTTTCCCTGTCCCTCTGTTTTTACTCATGCTATTTTCTACACCTCTCTTCACGGCATCTCCACCTGTGGCAGTCCCAGCTTCCTCCCTAGCAAGAAGAAATTCTCAACAGTCACCCTGACCCTCCAGCCAAACTCTCATACCTTTCATCCCTTTTTTATGGTACTTTTGTTGTGTTACGTTCTTTGTGTATATAAGTCTTATGTCACCTATTCGATTGCATATTCCAAGAGGCCAGGGAAAGAAGACATAAAATAAATACCCGTTTGGTGCCTTCTTCTGCCAGGTACCACCCTAGCCTCTTTTACAGCGGGGGTTGTTTTGTTTATTCGTTACCACAACCCTGTGAGGAATGTCCCGTGGCTGATAAGTGTCTGATTGTGATTGCAATGCTGATCTCTCAAAGCCCTTGCATTTTCCCTCTCTGAATTCTCAGTGTCTGAAAACGCTACCTATGAGGTAGATCTTCACAGTGTGTCTGTTTAAGGAATTTTGTAAATCGCTAACGCTGAGTGGGAGTTTGAGTAGCTGATCTTCTCGTGCCCATGGTCTGGGTCACTTACCTGTCCCGTGCCATCTGAATGCTCTCATTGCCACCTCATTAACTTTCTCCTCTTCCTTTGAGGCCAGGCTCACTTGAAGATGATGGGTTTTTGTAGCTGAAATAGATAGGTTAAAAACTTCGGTTATCATGGTTGCCTTCCTTGAAGAGGAGGTGGTGGTGGGGTGGATTGCAGCATCTTCAGAGCAGAATAAGCTCCAGAACACAGAAGTCGGTGGAGATGGCAGGGAAGAGGGCAGTGAGTGTAGACGTTGGTGTGGGACAGACCTAGGTTTGCATCTTGGCCTTGCCTCCTCTTACCTGCGTGCGTTTAGACAGGTCGTTTAGTTTCTTGAAGTCTTGGTGCTGTCCATCAGTGAGAAATGCTCGGCATGTTGCCAGGCAGATAGGTCCTCAGCAGACACTGAGGCGGTTCTCTTCCCCCTGCCTACTTGTCAGTCAGGACATACAGAAGGAACACAGCAAGAAGCCCTGGTGGCGTAATAGCTAAGCACTCGGTTGCTAACCAAAAGGTTGGTGGTTCGAAGTCACGCAGTTGCTCCGTAGCAACTGCCCCCCAGGGTTTCCAAGGCTATAAATCTATGGAAGCAGACTGCCACAGCTTTCTCTCGCAGAGTGGCTGGGGGGTTCGAACCGCTGACCTTTTGGTTAGCAGCCCAGTGCTTTAACCGCTGTGCCGCCAGGACTCCTGTGAAGATTACAGCCTAGGAAATCCTGTGGGGCAGTTCTACTCTGTCACATGGGGTTGCTATGAGTCAAAAATTGACTTGATGGCACCTAACAACAACAGCAGGCAAGAAATGGGGGACAGGGGAGCTTGCGTGCCATCAGTGGGGTCATAAGCAGGAACAAAGAGGAGGTAACCTGGGCAGTAAACACTGAAGCTTGCCAGCCTGGAGCCAGTGCCCCTTTAGCTTCTGCGTCAGGAAGAGGAGAAGGGAGAGGCGAGGACAGCTGGGGTGGCAGAGTGGGGGTTAACCAGTAAGCCTCGCTGGGAGCCTGCGATGCCGGGTTAGCTCTCCTTCCCGAATCTCAGCAGTGGCTGCCCGGTTCCTGATGACACGGAGTCCCGTGGGAGGGGAGCTCGGCACCCTGAAGCCCCTCGTCGTCAACTCGGGGGCTACAGAAGGAGAGTGACGACAGCCAGTGAGTCGTCAGTCGATGGCTGTGGGACCCTGGTGACGCTGCTTTGTTGTTTTTTCCTCTTTGGAAGATGACTCAGTTTATGGTGAGCCGGGAGATGGAGCTCTCAGCTGAGTGGCCAGGATGTTCTGTCAACACGAAGGCAGCACAGGCGGCTTGTCGGGGCTCGGAGCCGGGCCTCAGTCTGGGCTCGTTTTAATGGAGGGCTGGCAGAGAAGACGGCCACAGCCAGGCATCGGGCTGGGGCAACCCTGGGTAACTTAACAGGGCTCTGTGGACCCTGGAATCTTAGAATCTAAGAAGGAAATAGAGCTGTTTGTGTTATTAAATACGCTTGGCAACCAGGATCATGTCTAGAATGCCTCTGGCTGGCCCCAAATGACAGACACCTTTCTAGGCTCAGGAAACCTTTTGGGGGTTTTCTACCACGGCTCTGCCTGTGATAATCTTGGCGGTCATTGTCGTGGATAGAGGACGATTCCCCTCTTGGGGTGGGAGTGGACACGGGCAATCCTGGGCCCCAGGAGCGAATGTGCGTGGCAGGGATATGGTGTCTTAGGGGTCCCTGCTGGGCTTCACAGATGGTGACTTGATATCACCGGCTCAGTTGCGGGCAGCTAAAGGTCAGCCCTTGGGCAGCTGGCTTCAGCCTCTCCTTTCTTTATTTGTCCCAAATCAGAGCTTCTCTCTCCTTTATCATCCTCACTTACTTCTTGGGCAAAATAGTGGTCCTTGAGGTCTCTACCTTTTTTGGAGGGGGAAGGTATCTTCCTGGTGACTCAGGGTTCTAGACGTTTCTTGAATCTGCAGCATTGCGCTATAGGCGCGTGATCCCCCCGCCCCGCCCCGCCCCGCCCCGCCTTGCCTCCTTGGGAGCAAGAGGGAAGATGGGCCGCCACTGCCGCCATTTTGTGGCCAAGCCATTATCCCCAGCATCTGGCTTCCTTTTCTCTCTACCTCTCTCAGCCAGTGTTGGGGGGCAGGGGCGCTCACGAACTGTGTCTGGGTACTGAGGGGACGCCTTGGCCTGGGATTGCCCTCCTGCCTTCCTTACGTGCGTTTTTCAGCCTCATGCTTTCCCATAGGGGACATTTGTCACTGACCCCACCGATCTCCTAGGGTGGCTCATTTGGGATTTCGGGTGGGGGTGGTTCCTGGGCCTTGGGAGCCAGAGGGAGCAGGCAGAGCTGCCGAGGTCACAGCAAGGGTAAAGCAGGGCGAGGGATGGGGGCCCGTGCCCCACCCAGAGTGTGAGGGCAGCCATGGCCCTTCTTGCCATGTCTTCCTGAGCCTGCTTATGGAGCAACTTGGTCTCAAAAAATTGTATATATGTGGGCGTTGGATCCTTTTGTGACTCGTATTTCTTTGTCCGGAACTGTGCATGAGATGAGAGCCTGGATTCCATCCTTGGGAGAGCTGTCTCAGGTTTGTGTTCTGAAAGAGATGATGGACAGGTCCTCCTTGATTAGACCCTGTGCTCATTGGTGCTGGCCTTTCTCCAGAATGATGGGCCCCCGTGAGTTTGCCCAGCATTGTCTTGCTTCTGTCATTGGATGATGAGCTGAGGGCTGTGGTCACAGAGCCACATGAACCCCATGTGGGGCCTTGATTGGAGTCTGCACAATTGATCGCTTGACTCCATGAGCTGAGCCCCTGTCTTCTTTCTCTTCTTACCTGTAGAGACCTTGGGAGAGTTTAGTTAGCTCTACGAGTAAGTGACAGTCTTTTTGAGACTCATCCATGGCTGAGGATGGTGCTGTATGCAGGAGACAACCATCATCCGGTGGGATAGAATAGCTGGTTTGCATTTACTGGAAACGAAAAATAAAGGAGATGCCTGCCAGCCCTGGTTCTCTGTGGTAAGTATTGGTCTGCATTCTTCTACATTCTTTTATTTCTTCAGACATCAGAAGTGGATAGATGTTTATTGAACCCAGCCAGCTGCTGTGCCTTTGCCATTCTTCTCCTGCACACCCCCGCCCTTAGTCCTTCTGAAGAGAGGACTAGATTGATTTTCTAGTGCAACTGGAGAGCTGCAGAGAGGTTGGAAGTCTGTGTTCAGTCCCCACACAGCCCCCTCACATTCAGGAGAAGTCAATTTTCCCTTAAAATGGAGCCATCAGCCCATGTCCCTCGGTGCAGTGGGCTAATGGGCTGAATGGAAGGACCCTGTTTGCCCTCGCTGCCCCCAGCCTGTGGGTGAGGCTCTCAGTTGGCTGGCTGCGGGAGGACGGTCCTTGCCAGCACCTAGCATGGTTCTCTGCCAAGTTCTAGCTCCAGATCTCTAGGCTGGAAGGAACCTAGACTATATATAGCCTTGTGCTAAGCAATTCTTATCGGACGTGTCTGCCCTCCCCTGCAGGAGAGGAGCACTTCTGTCAGAGAACCAGAACCCAGAGAGTGTGAGCCATCTCCATGGGGCCTTTTATTCTGGAAAGGGGTGTGTGCGTGTGCATGTGCGCGTGTGTGTGCGCGCGCGCGCGCGCGCATATGTCTGTGTGGTTCAGAGCTGCCAAGCCTTATTTCCTTTCCCGTATGTCAGATGCTGGTGGATTCAGAGGTCATGCTGGATGACAGCGCTGATGTGGGGTGAGGCCAGGAAAGACGGAGGGTTGTCTGATGGATGCCGGGCTTGGAGGGGAGGCCAGGGCCACGGGCAGGCTGAAGGCACAGTTGCGCCCGCATCGGAGGTCAGCCTCTGATTTCTCCTCTTAGTTTCCTGTTTGCCTTGCTTTGCCCGAGGATGCCTTTTGACCTCTTTCTTCCTTCTTTTGACCCATTGCATTCCCTGCCTTCCTTCCCCTCTTCCTCCTTTTTTGGATTTTCTGTAGGGTATATGAGGGCACACTTCACTGTGGGCATCCGGGAGCTGTGTCCGCTCTCGGCCCTCATTCCCATTTGTTTTTGGTTAGGCAAAGCAGGGTCAGCCATCTCAGGAGGAAGCTGGGTGGTGAATGCGGGTGTTGTGCTGGGTAGTATTTATAGGGCAGGGCTGGTTGGACGTCGTCTTCTTCCCTCTCCCAGGTGCTGTTGAGCCACCAACTTGTGTGGTTCTCTGACTGAAGTGCTGATTGTGGTGACATGATCCCTGTCTTGTCAGTGAATCATCACAAGTCTGGAAACCAGATGCAGCAAGGAAGATAGGACTTAACCCTTCCCTACCTCCCAGGTAAGTCTAGTGTGGTCTGCTCCCTGCTGGCCTTCCTCTATCCCATGTCCCTTCTCATGAAGACTCTTTCCCTTATTCAGCAGGGTCTCAGTCTTCTCCATTCAGAGATGCACAGACAGTTGGTCTCTTCTTTGTATTCTCCTCTTGCTGGATTTTCTGTGAATGGGGTTAGTAACCAGCAGAGGGCTGGGGGAAGGGTGACCAGCTGAAGTGACCAGCTGTTAGGATGTGTGGGAGATATCTGGGAGCATTGCTGGGTGTGGCATTTGGCAGGATCCAGGTCTCCCACAGTAACTGAATGGAAACTGCTGGACCCCTAACAGCTAGCTTCTCTGGCGTTAACCTCTCAGGGCCCTGGGAGCCTGCCTGGAGCTTGGGCATCCTCTTCCCGGAGTGGTCTCAGTGGATGTTCTGTCTTACTTGAGACACCTTAAGCCTTGTTGGCAACTTGTCTAGAGACTGTGGTCTAGAGTTTAGAGTGTGGGTTGGGCAGTGGATTTTGTGGCTCTTTCCCTGACTTTTGGGGTTTCTTTTGAATGAATCACTTTTTTCCTAAAGGCCCTCATTGCCTTCCCCTTAAAAAAAAAAAAAAAAGTCCTGTGAGTAAGCCATTGCAAAGCATTTGTAGGCAGCTGACGTAGAAGTGCTTTTCTCTTTGCCTTGCTTGACGCTGGCCACAGTGATAGCAACAGCGGTTAAAAATGACGACAGCTTGCAGAGTCGGGGAGGGCTGCCGCGTTAGAGAGACAGTTCAGAAAGCAGGCTGTAGGCACTTGCCATGTCACAAATGCTACCTCACTGTCTCCTCTCAGTAGATAACTGCGATGTTCTTGGCCAGTGAGTCCAGTTGGAATTAGCCGACAGTAGATTTATCTGGGGCCTGAAGTAATCTCAAGATGCTTTGGCTAATACCGGGAGGCACCTGTGTGATCCCACCTCCTACCACACAGTAGCTGCCACTGGCTAGTGGATGTGGGTGTTGTTTCCTCTTCCCCACCCCTACCCAGGGAAGACTGACAGTTCGGCCTCACGGCGTTCATCTTCTCTTCCCGTCCGAGATGAGTCTCCGAGCTGGCTGTGAGCAGCGCTGAAATGCTTGCGGAGTGAGGAATCCAGGGCTGTCTGGAAGAGTCCGGTGTCTCTTCCTTCAAGGAATTTGACAAGTCTCAGCCCCTCCTGCAGTAACGTAGTTAGGGATGGCTGGGGGTGTTGGACCTGGAACACAAACAAAGAGGAGAGATCTGCTTTGGTGCAGCTGGGAGATGAAGAGGAGTGAGTCAAGTCCCTCAAGATGTATTGGCTAGAGTCTGGCCAGGGCTGGCTGTAGGCTCCTGCCGGACCTAGCTGCTGGCCACACTTGGAGCCTCAGCCCTCATATGTGTGGCGTGTCCCTGGCCCTGGCTCTGGTGACTGCCCTGCCCTTGGCTAGGTCAGGCTACCAGGGTGGGCAGCGGAGGGGAAGTTGGTTCTGCTCCTTGTGATGCAGTTATCTGTGCCTCCCGGTGTTTCCAGAATTGGTGTTGGTGCTTCCCTGGTGATTTTTCTTTTTTTGTCTTCCTTTCTTCTCTGCCCACTAGCCTGGCTTCCACTGACAGAGGACGTTATGTGCTGCAAGTCAGGCTACAGAACAGTTGGCATCCCTGAGAGGGGCCAAGCTTATCTGGTGTTTTTTTCTTGACCTTTTAATTCCTGAGGTCTGGGAGCCAGGTGGCAGTCTTGGGCCTTTCTGTCCGGGATCCAAAAAAACCCCAAACCAAACCCATTGCTGTCGAGTCGATTCCGACTCATAGCAAACCTACAGGACAGAGTAGAACTGCCTGTAGGGTTTCCAAGGAGCGCCTGGTAGATTTGAACTGCCGACCTTTTGGTCAGCAGCTGTGGCACTTAACTGCTGCGCCACCAGGGTTTCCATCCAGCAGAGGTTAATAGAGCTGGTGGGCAGGAGCAGTGGTATTGTGGCTTGGCCGGGGGGTGTGGGGAGGGGGTCCTGCCAGGGGCCCTGATTGGTCAGCACCTTCTCTCATCCTTTGAATCCTGGGCTGGTCAGGTCTGTGAATTGTTTAATGCATATCTGGGCTCTGACCTCTGGCATAGGTTTCCCCGAGGCTACAGCCGCAGCTTTCAAGAGGATCTGTATCTCATGCTGGTTACTTTTGGGTGGGTTGCCTTCCTCTGAGATATGCAAGAAATATTTCTCTTTCCACCAACCGGGGGTCTCTGGGAGGCTCTCGTTTGCTTTTCTGGACGTGGAGTGACTGTGAAGGAAACGCAGGCTGGGTTTGGTTTGTACCGGTTCCTTCCACATGAGCTGTTTGTGGGCTGATAAAGCCAGAGAACACCTCCAGGGCCCCAAGGTGTCCAGCCTGGGCAGGAGTGGAGTGGGCCACTGGAATGGCGGGAGGTGCAGGGAAGGCTGGTGTGCTCCAGCTGATCACAGGAGCAAGGTCAGCAGGGTGTGGGGGACGGGCCCAGTGCCCATCCGGGCTGCCTGCTGTGGCCCAGGATGGCTGTGCGCGTGTCCTCCAAAGGACTCCCACCCCAGTGCCTGGACTACAGGCAGTGTGGCGTCCAGATCAGGGTCTGTGGTGAGGCATGAGGAATGAGGTGGACAGCGGAACTCCTGGCCTCAGCATGCTGTCCCGGGGAGGGGAAGCTGACCTTTAGTAAGGTCCACTCTGTCAGGCATGCCACTGTTTCTGTCTCCTTTGCTTATCTGATTTCATCCTCAGAACTGCCACGGGAAGTAGGTGTTCTCTCTGTTTTATGGTTAAAGAAGCCTGGAGGCATGGTGCTTAAGCGCTTGGCTGCTAACCGAAGGGTCAGTGGTTCAAACCCTCCAGCTGCAGAGGAGAAAAGACCTGGCAATCTGCTCCCCTAAAGACTACAGCCTGGGAAACCCTATGGGGCAGTTCTGCTCTGTCTGTAGGGTTGCTGTGAGTCGGAATTGTCCTGTAGGGTCACTGTGAGTCAGAAGTGACTTGAGGGCACACAACAACAACAGCAACTGTGATTATCAAGTGAATTAACCAGGGTCACACACTTGATAAGTGGGCTTGTTGAGATTTGGTTCCAGGCCTGTACTTTTTCAGCTGTCCCCACATCCTCTTGGGTTGAAGTCAGACATTTTTGGGAGCTAAGCCCCTCAGAGGATAAGCAATCAGGAGAACTGATGTGAACCAGAGTGAAGGGCCAGATACCCAGGGGAACGTCCCTGTCCCCGGGGAAGGCTGTGCCACATTCCTTTGGGGAGGCAGGGCAGAGGCAGATACCCTTTGGTATCTGTGGACAGGCAGGGCTGAGCAAGGCAAAGACTTTCCTTCTACAAATACATATCGAGCCTCTACTATAGGCCAGGAGCTGTACTAGTGCTGGGGACACAGACCTCAACAAAACAAAGTTTTTGCTCTCGTGGGTCATGCATTCTAGTGCAGGGAGAGATCATTAAAAAAATGAATAATTTAAAATATATAAAGTATAATGTGTGAGAGAGGCATATGGAGACTCTGCTTTCTGCACAGTTTTTCTGTAAACCTAAAACTGCTCTAAAAATAAAGCTTATTAAGAACATATGTAAAGAAGACATAGATGGAGAGTGTATGGGAGTGAAGAACAGGGACATCTGTATATAAGAAGGGGTCCAAATGATGGTCAAAGGGGTATCTAAGACATCGAAGGACTTTAGCCACCTGGGGAAACCATACTGATGGAGTCTTTCTCCAAAGAATTAGGAGTGATAGAGATACTGACCCCTTTTCTTCTCCTAATAACCAGCAAAATTCAAGAGCCCCATAGCTTGCAGGGACTTGTCCAAAGTTCCACGGCGAGTCAGGTATCAAGGTGGGACTAGACGTCAGGACTTGCGTCACAGACTAAGAGTCCTTCCCATTGGCCATGGCTGTTGGTGGACTTTCATCTCCCACCCTCACTTGGTGCCAGCTGGCTCCTCTGCTCAGCGTGGTCTCCGTGCTCTTCTCTTGTCTCTGCGGCACAGGGGAACATTTGGGTTAAATCTGTGCTGAGTCACTGGACTCTGAGCTCAGCCTCTCCTGCTGGAATGCGTGGTTCCACGAGCTGTTTATCGCGATAGGGAAGGGACAGGCACAAGTCGCCTTGTGTCAGATGCTTGGTCTTGTTTTGTGTCTTGAGAGGTTGAAGCAGGCCGATGGTGCTGGAGATGGGGGAGGGGGCTGTTTTCAGTGTGTCCAGCTCCAGAGCTCAGGACTTGTTTACTTGGTGGAAGAGGCAGAGCAGTCCATGGTGAGTCAGGCCCCGTGATCCTTCCCTCCTTGGCCCGTCATTGGCGCACAGCCTCCCTGTACCACGGAGACTGCCATCTGCTGCCAGGAGTCTGATGTTGCACAAGGGCCCTGCTAGGGTCCCAGGCCGAATGAGGTGTGAGTCTGTGGTAGTGAGGTGTGGGGGCTCAGAGGGGGACGGGAAGTGGGTTGTAGGTTGCCTGGTGGAGCGGAGTCAGCAGACCTGGATTCTGCCCTTGGTTCCATTGGTGAAAACCCCCTCCCTCACTCACCTTCCCTCTCTGGGCTTCAGTTCATTGTCTGTAAAACGAGGGGGTTGAACCAGAATCTTTTCTGAGGTTCCTGCCAACTAGTACTGGGTCTCTCTGAATGTTCAGCGAGGTATTTCTTAGCTAGAAGGTCAGGACAAGGAAAACTCGACCCGAGTTACAACAGGAGAGGGGAAGGGGCCGTGAAGACCTGTCGCAGAGCAGCCAGAGTTCTCTTTGCTGAATAGACGCTGTCGGTGTGAGTTAGGGTAGGTGGGAAGAGACATAATATTTGAAGGATCCCCCCAGAAGGAGGAGGGATCGAGCTGGAGATCGGGTGCAGGTGGTGGATGGGCTGGTGGTCATTAGGGCTCCAGTAGAGGGACATGGGCTCAAGCTCCCCCCTAGAGGTCTGTCTGGAGATGGGGTGCCTGCGTTAGTGCTGGGTTGGCTGAGGAGCTGCTCTTCAGGTAAAATGCTCGGTCCTTCTTGGCCCGGAACCCCGAAGTGAAAGTGGGATTGTGGAGTTAGGGAAGGCCCCTTGCTGTCAGGAAGTTTTTCTTTATATTTCACCACCTTCTGTTGACAAAAAAGAGGAGTCTCCATGTGGTGCAAATGGTTAATGCACTCAGCTGCTAACTGAAAGGTTGGCTGTTTGAGTCCACCCAGAGGCACCTCAGGAAAAAGTCCTGGCCATCTTCTTCCAAAAACTCAACCTTGAATACCCTATGGAGCACGGTTCTGCTCTGACACACATGGGGCCACCATGAGTCAAAATCGACTTGCTGGCAACTTGTATTAAAAAAAGAAAGAAAAGAAAAAAATAAAAACAAAAATAGAGCCACCAGTTCCCTTTCGGCTTGTTAGTCTTGAGTCACTCTTAAAGAGATAGCAAAAATAAACCACCTGCAGGACAGCACAGGGCCCAGACCCACAGCTGGTGGGACTCTGGCCTGGCTTCCCCACGGTGGCCCAGAGGCCCACCTCTTCCCCAAGACTGCAGGTAGGAGCCCCTGGGGCTGAGGGACATATCGTGTAATCTGCTGAACAGAATGCAGGGTTTTAAAAACAGCTGCATTTTTCCAGATAGTATCTGCTTGCCACTTCGCTGGGTATTTACCTGGGATTAAAAATAACCTGCCTCTGCCCCCACCCCGGTACATTATGAACAGTGATTTGAGCCATTTCTCAGGTAGGAGAGGAATTGATTAGTGATCGTCGTATCACGCTTCCCTATGTGACATCTTACGATTCTTTTCACATTGGCTACTCACTGGGTCCTCACACAGCCAGAGAGGGTCATCTCCACAGCTGATGAAACCGGCCAGAGAGAGTCGTGCCCAGACCTGATTAACTGCTGGTACCTGCTTGATTTGGGTCTCCCACCCTGACTCCAGCCATCTTTTCGCTGGGCTTTAGTAGCCTCCCAACCCTGGCCAGTGGGGCCTTGGACGGTGTTCTTGATCTCTGTGGGCCTTTGGTCCCTCCTCTAAGTGTTGAAGGGGGAATGAAATCACAGAATGTCTGCGTTTTCATATTCTCTGGTCCTTAAGACTTCTCGGGACTCTTGTGAGAATTGCCTTGCACTTTTTGGTTGGAAAACCAGCCACTGTCCATGTGTTCCCGGAGAGGTTTCCTACATCTAGAAGCTCCTGGAATATGGACAACACGAGGTTTAAGAAGTAAGCTCGTTTGAAAATGTGATGCTTCGCACCATTCTGACACATCTGGCATGGCACTTGATGTACGCGCATACAGGCAGGTTTCTGGGAATTTTAGTTCACTTAGAGATGAGGCCTCGCTGGGGCATCTTTGAGACGTTCCAGCAGATTTGTAAGGGATGCCCTGAGCCTGCCCAGCATGCGTGTTGTGTGTATGTTCCTGTTTGCTGGCTGATGTAGAGCGCCTGCTGAAGAATTGGCTAACGTGCAATGTAAAGTGAGGTACTCCACACACCGGCTTCAGCTCTGAGTGTTTGCTTGGTGAGTGACTTGGCAAAGTAAGCCTGACTTCTGGAGAGGAGGAGGGTAAGAGCTCTCAGGCTTAAGTTTTCTTTAATACTGAGCATAACCCCTCACTTTATGAGGGGCACTGAGGGTTGAGCTGCCTGTCTTCTTGGCCATTTAGCTCCCTGAGTGATCTTCATCTGAATAGACCCAGAACTTGTGTGAAGGGGAAAGAAGTGTTTACCTTCATTTAAAACACATTTAAGCTGATGGTTTAGGCTGTACTTGAAGGTGTTCCTGGAAGAAGGGTTGGGAGTGGACAAGGGGCAGCGCTCACTCCCTCAGCACAGCCTTGGCTCATAGAGAAGCCCTGGGGCGGGGGCCCGCGTGGGGGCGGGGCCTGCATGATGGTGGGGGCCCAAGGCAACAGCTTCATAGCAGAGGAACGGTTTTGGTGGGCGGAGTCTTCAGTAACTTCGCATGTGAAGATTCGTCATACTGGACCCAGTTCTTTGGTTAGCCTTGAGGAAGGAAGGCGATGGGCTGAACCTGCAGTGGGGAGGGAGATTTAGGTAAGGCTGCAGGGAGAACTGTGGCAAGAGAAGATGAGGCCTTTTTGTCTGGGGGGAGGGGAGAGACTGAGTGTCCTTGACAGGGTCCTTCCAGGCCCGAGTCTGTGGGGTGTTAAGGCCATCCGGGGAACAGTATATTTGGGTGCCAGGATCTAGAGCAGGCTGTGTGTCTCCACGTGTTTGCCGCAGGCCTCAGCCACTTGGGGCCGCGTGAGCTTCGGATCTGGAGCTCTGGCTTTGTTTCCCTGGATCCTGTAGAAACTGAGATTATTTTCAAATAGAAAAGGAGAAAGGCATGTTCCCTCCTCATCCCTTCCATGAAAGAACCCTGAGCTTGTCTGATCCTGTAAATTGTACCACCTCCCATCCCACCTTCCTCCCTGGCCCATTCCCCCTAGCCCTAGGGACCTTTGATGGGCATTGGGGAATGGGGGGGGGGGGTTTGTGGAGGAGGCAAGAGGTGGGAAAGGAGTAGCTCAGGGCAGGCCCACGGCTCTGGGAGCCTTGGGGGTTGCTTACTATACCAGAGGCATGTGTGTGTGTTCAGATGGGCCCGCTGTGGAGAGGTAGACCAGAAGTATGAAATAAACCAGTTAATGGCTAAATGAGAACTGTATTAAAAATGGAAAATCATGTATTTTTTTGTCTTAATACTGCCTGCAGACTTAGCATTGCAACAACGCCTGCCAGACCAGGGGCCTTTAAGTGGGCCCTGTCTGTGAGAGCGTGCGTGCGTATCTTGTATTCACTTTGACTCCTTTCACATTCCCCCTCCTCTTCCTTCCCTAGGTACCTGTGAATATTTATCCATACCTTTGTGCTGTTATTTCTGTGGGGCACAGTTTGTCCAGTGTTTCTGACGTCTTTGAATGTTTTATTTCAAACGTAAACAGACCATAAGCTCACTCCAGAGTTGAGACCCTCTAAGATGAGGCTGAGGTCCTGGCTGCTCCCTGCAGCCCTCCCCTAACCACAGAGTCTGGGCTGAGTCAGCCAAACCCCCAGGAGGTGAGAATCAAGTGTGTCCTTGCTGGGTCGGCGTGGCCTGAGTCATGCCTCTTCTTCGGGGTGGGGTTTGCCAGGCACGCGTCCCCTAGACCCTCTTAGCTGTAACTTCTTTTCAGCCTGAACTCATGTCTGAGACCACACGCCATCCTGGTAAATGAGGAGGAAGGCGGAGAGGGAAGGGGACAGACAGAGGAAGAGAACATGGACACCTGGCTCCTGGCCTCTCTCCAGGACAGGTGAGCTCTGTGTTCAGAAAAGAACTCAGTCTTTTGGCCTGCATGAAAGCTATTTGTATTTTCTCTCCTTCTCTCTCTCCCTCAACCCCCCCCCCCCCACAGCCTCCAAAGAATTTAATCTGCTGGACAACAAACAATACTGTTATAAAACTTTGAAAACAAGAGGGCGAGGCCTCCCTGACAAGGAGAAGGGCATGCTGGGTAATGGCCCGAGGGAGCGTGCCAGGCCCGTGATGGAGCCGGGCAAGAGCCCAGTTGGCTGGGTACCTGGGCGCCTGCCCTCGCCCTGCCCAGCCCACCAACAGCGCCATCCCCAGTCCGGAGAGGAAGGAACTGAAACAAAAGGGGAGACAGAGAAGCGCTTGAAAAAGGGAAGTTGTGTGTGTTCGCCTCTGTCTGATCTGATGGGAATGCACTAGACTGTGAAACTTCCCCCTCCCTCCCTCCCTCTCTTTCCCTCTCCCCTCCTCCTCCACCTCCTCCCTCCCCTTCCCTCCCTCCCTCCTCTCTCTTCCCTCTCCCTCCTCCTTGTCCTCCTCCTCCTCTTCCTCCTCCTCCTCCCTCCACTCACTGTTCTGGTCTTGAGACTGGCAGGCAGAGGTCCTGATAACAGTGAGGCCGGTACAGCAGTGTGGGTGCAGCTTCCAGCTGGGCCAGCTAAGGGGGAAACGGGAAAGAAAGCATGCTCCCTGGAGTTGGTTTTGGACTCTGGACCTACTCTCTGTCTGAGCCAGCCTTCTTCCCCTGCAACTAGGAAAGTGGGACCCAGTCACGGGGTGTGCCCCAGTCCATGTGTTCTGCCAGGTGTGTGCCCAGGTACTGGGTAGAACTGCCCCTGGGGCTTCCTGGTGCATGCTGGAGGCTTCCAGGAGGAAGCCCGACTTGGTGAGATGCTTTCTCCTTTGAGATGTTCTGCTTGCGCTCCTGGGGGAGTGGGGGCTGTGCTGCAGCAGTTGGGGGATGCCTCTGCAGGGGCTCCTAGGAGCAGGTACGTGTTTCTCCCAGCAAGCAGGCACGAGGTCCTGTGGAGTGTGGCGTGAGTGCCTGGACCGCCTGGTAGGAGGCTGTATCTGCTGGCCATTTCTAGGCAGCTCTGCCTGGGGGCCGTGGGGAAGCCGGGCTCTGGGACTTCCCTCCCCTAGCCTCCAGAGTTAGATTTCCCCGAGACTCATTTCTCTTCTGAGTCCGTCTTCACCGAGTCCGGTGGCTGGTTCGGGAGTGGCAGGGGAGCAGCATTGTTGGTTTTCCTTTGGACTCGTGTTGGTTGCCACCAGTGAACCCGTTGGCAGGTATTGTGTTTGTGTAATAGACCAAATGCATGCTCACGGGAAAGCAGTTCCGGGCTGTGTCTGTCCTCCTGCCGGAGTGAAGCCATTCTGTCAGGAGAGCATGGAGACACTGAGCTACAGTCTCCACGCCGTCCCTCCTTCCCTTTGCCCACTCACCCCAGGGTCAGGGTAGTCATGGCGCACTCTTCCAGCCAGCCAGCCGTCCTGACCCAGAACCTCCCAGGTGCCCTGTACTGAGTCGGGAAGTGTTTGAGACCCATATTTTTGCTGGTAGTATTACGAACGCACAGAGAAGCTCACTTTTAGGAAGCAGCTTCCTAGGAAGATGGGCCTCCACCCATGCCCAGACCCAAGGGAAACCGGAAGCGCTGGTGCTGGGCCCATGTGAGCTTGGAAGGCTGTGCCTTCTTGCCGTGTATTCTGGATGGGTGTTTGAGGGACTTACTGGGGCTGGAGCATATTAGTCCCACTTGAGATTCAAGGCCTGGGAAGTGTGGTGGTACCTGGATGCTGAGCCCTGCTTTTGGGGGGCCAGGTTGCCAGAAAGGGAGTGCCAGATGGAAGTTTCTGGGGGCTTTGGGCCAACTCCATAGGCTCCCTGAAATCCCCCCACCCCCATCAACACATACCCTTCATTTGATCACCCTTTCCTCTGATTCATTAACCACAACTAGTTGGCAACAGGCTCCACCCTGACAGCTCAAGACAAAATGTCCAGGACACTCTGTCTGGGTTAGAGCCCAGGGTGACAGGAAGCTGGGCTGGCCTTGCAGTTCACATATACAATAGACTTGAGGGCAGGACGTTCCCCTTTTTGCAGAGGGCCTTCCCCAGCCCCTTTCTCACTGAGATCAGTTCTTCCTTGCTGCCGGGAACCCTGCAACCAGCATTCCTACCGGCAAGAAGATGGATGCCCAGGCTCCGCTTCCGGCCCCTCCCTGCTGGCTGGAACTTGCGTCAGTCCCGTAAGTAGCAGTGACTCAGCACCCAGCCTGGGTCAGGAGGAGAGCTGCTGCCGGGCAGGAACCTTCCCAGCCTTCTGGGTTTAAACACACGGCGGTAACATGGAACCCAGCAAGCAGGATTAGGTTCCTGGGCGTGGATGTCTGTCTGTTCAGTGGGTTTGCTTATGGATTTCATAAACAGGGGCTCCTCTCCTTTCCATTTTCCTCCCATGGTAGTTTTTGGGCACCTACCACGTGCATCATGCTGGGCATAGGATTTCTTGGACTTTAAAAGACCATGGCATCATTTATAGAATGAAGCAGAGCTCTCTTTGCAATCTCTGGACTAGTTTTAGCCAACAGCCTGTGAATCCTATTTAACCTTCTGGTGTTTCGTTTGGCCTGCACGGGTGTTATAAGCGTCAGTTTTACATGCTTTTAGACAAACAGCCTCTGCAGGTCACTATATTTCTGCTGCATGCCTTTGCTTTTTCTCTCTCTTAAGTTGCCCGCTGATCCCTCTAATCATTTGAATGTTGAGCAACCAGTCTACCCCAGCTTTCTCTCTGTACAGAAGAAGACACGGAGGCCCGGGCAGGGGAAGTGGCAGGTCCCTGTTCTCAGACTTGGACTGAGCAGGAATGCCAGCCATGGTGCTCTGCTTCACTGTGTGGTGACCTCCACCCTCAGGTCCCTGCCCAGGCAGAGGAGTGTCCTGGGCATGAGAGGGCGGGAAAGCCTTCAAACAGAATGTTGGCACAAAAATGAGCTGGGTGCAAGGTGGCTGCAGCATGGCTCCTGGACCCTCCCCACTGCATGGTGGCCCCTCCCAGGGCTCTTTCTCACTGAGTGAGTGGATTTCCTTCCCAGGCAGCCCAGCCAAGCTCTTCCCCATTGGCCAGTTTGCTGGGTGCTGTTAGGCTGAGGGGGAGAATCCCATCACCCTCCTTCCATGGCAGAGTCCTCAGCATGCAGCTTGCAGATCTAGGTGGCTCAGGCTTGGTGCCAGGGAGAGCAAGGCCTTCCAGCCCATGTCAAGCCACCTGCTGTGTCCAAGTAGGGACAAAAGCCAGCTTGTTTCAAGAAAGAGTCATTGCTCAGCTGACTTTGAGAGGGAACCCAAGTTCTGTGGGAGAGGGCTGAGACCTGGGCAGACCCGGTTATCCTTTGGGATTGAAAGGGTAAAAGGTTATGGTACTAAGATCACTTTTGCCCCTTCTTCTTATTTTAGAATGTTTAAAATGATGCATTATTAATGATTTCTTATCTCTTCTTCCAGAGAACTAAGAATATTTTAGAATTCAAGAGTCAAGGAGTCCAAACTCTGGTTCATATCATTAGTTCCTTCAGAGACGGTCACCCCTTAGCTGTGTGCAGCAGCTCTGCTAGACTCTGGGGTGGCATTTAGTGGTTAGCAGGAGAGACATTGTTAATCACATCGATGACCAAATGAGATAAGCATTCTGAAGGAAAAGGACGCATTACAGTGGGAGGGCGGATTTAACCAGGAGCCAGGCCTAGACTCTGGGCGGCTGTCCTGAGGAAGGGGTTGTTGAGCTGAGATCTGGGGGATGACTGGGAGGTAGGTAGCTGGGGGTCGTGGTGGTGGTGGTCGGGTTGAGGGGTGGTGGCTGTGGTAGACTAGAGAGTATTCCAGAAAGAGGGACCAGCATATGCAGGAGCCTTGTGGGAGGCAGCGTGGCCTGGGTCACTGATGGACATCTGTGTGGTGACCCAGAGGAAGGGGTTCTGTGGTCACTGACAGTTGGAAGCTGCTGAGGAAGAGCTTGGCTGAAGTAAAATGCAGAAAAGTGTAGCAGCTGAGAATGACCAAATGTAGAGCTCATCCCAGCCATACCCGAACCCTTTGCTGTGGACTCGATTCTGGCTCATAGCGACTCTACAGGACAGAGTACAACTGTCCATAGGGTTTTCAAGGCTGTAGTCTTTACTGATGCAGACTGCCAGATTGTTCTGCATAGTGGCTGGTGGGTTCAAACTGCCAACCTTTCAGTTAACAGCTGAGCGCTTAAACCACTGGGCCACCAGGGCTCCTAAGAGCTCATCCAAACCTCTCATTTTACAATATTCAGATCCCAGGGTAATGATTGACATTTAACACTCAGACTCTGACCTTAACTCCCGCACCTCCTCCCCCCGCTCCCGCCACCTCGTTACCTGGCTAACAAGCCGCCCCTGCCACACAAACCTGGCCCTTGGCTTTCTCATATGTGACCGAGGCCTTGGAAAGTCTCCCAGCTGCAGAGCCTAGTGCTGGTGTCAGAATCAGGCAGGAAACCATGACGGCATCATGGGGCAGGTTCATCCCCAGCGTCTCCCCCATCACCAGGCGTCCTGTGGGAGAATGCAAGGGTGCCAGCACACAAAGCCAGCTACTCCAGCCCCTGGCCAAGCCAAACCATGCTCCCGTCTCTTCCACCAAGAGTAACACGCTGGATAGTCAGTCTCATCCCTCATCCACACAGAAATACGGCCTGGGAACTTTCCCTCCTCAGCCTTGCTCGTAATTAAGTTCAGGAACAAAATGAGTTGATAGTCAAGCTGTGAAGCAGGCAGCTATGGGCAGAGGGGAAGGAACACAAGCTTTTGGAGTTAGACCTGGGATTCACACCATTTATTAGCCATGTTGACTGTGGACAAGTTATTTAACCTAATTAAGGATCGGTGTCGTCTTCTACAAAAATGGGAATAATAACTTGCCTCCTGGGACTCTTGGCAGAATTAGTGCTCTTGGTGTTCAAGTTTTATTCCCTTCTCTGTAGTGACACAGCTTTATGTTCAGAAGACATAAAAAATATAGGTCTGTATCAGGATGCCTAAAGAATTGGGAGGGAACTTAAGAGACATGTTCTGCTGTGTCTCTCTTTCTCTT